ATGTCTTCAGATGCTGTGCAAAATGTTTGTGAAAGGAGGATACAGTACTCAGTGATTGATTGGTTTTCTTGTTTGTCCAGGTATATCTAAGGCACTTTCTGTGCTAGGGGCCATTCATTGAATGTATTACTCCAGTAGCTACTTGCATTCATCTTTCATTCCACTTCCAGTTTGTAAAAGATGGTGTATGAAAAAGAAATTATTGTATACTGTACATTTCAGTGGCTCATTTTATTACAGGTAGCTATACAGTATTTAGAAATTTTTCTCTCATATTTGTCTTTTAGCTCCCATTTTTCTTCATTATCTAAAGTTTTGCATTTATCGTTTGATAGTTGTGTGCAGTACTGTAGTTGTGTACAGTACTGTAATTAGAATCTGGAAAACTTCGTTGATAACCGGAAATTTTCTGGTTTATTGAGACATCTTTTTAAAAGAGTATTCATTAGTACAGGAACTGGTACAGTATTTCCTCTTAATTACACTAGCTACCGGTATACAGTACAGTACTGTTGCTCCATTTAATCCAGTTGTGGGTGATCTCTGTACCATAATGTATACATTAATACTAAATACTGTACAGTAATGTATGATGATGATTTATGAGTTCTATTTGATTTCTATGAATGACCTTTGCCTTGCTTTTGATAAGTACCATCAGTGTTTTAAGCTGCTTTAATAATGCCTCTTATAATTAAGCCAAATGTAGGGACATAAATAACATTCACAATAATGGGTACAACTGTCTTTTCATGAAACTTGTTACTAGTGATACACAATATGGATGTTGTGTATATACGTACAGTAACTTGAGGAGTCTACTTGGACAGTTGTTACATAGAGACACGCTACTTCAGTTGTGTGTACCCTCGGGAACCTTGTAAACGACACTATGATGTATGTCACAAACATTCAAGAATATGTTAGACATAATTTTTTAAATGGCAACAAGTACATCCTTCAAGAGACTAGATTCTGTCTTTTAATTTTAACAACCAGTAGCATGTTTCCAGTTTTCCCCTATGTGTATACTGTACAGGATTATTGGAACCTCTGGTTCTCAACAAGGATGCCTTGTGCATGGTGCTGTTATGTCATCATTTCAATGTTAAAATCATACCTTAATATATATAACTGAATCTACTTAACCCTCTGGTACATCTGTTCATGGTCGGAAATCTCACCCCCGCACAGTCTTTCGATGCAGGTTGCGTTTTTCCATTTTAGTAAATATTGGGTCAAGCAATTCGGACCCAAATTGCACCCTTAGAGATGCATCTGTTAGCCCACAAGACTAGTGGGAAGAATTTCAGTGGTTGATAGGGCTGGTCCGCTGTTTCCGCTTTTCTACTTACTGGAGGGGTGCTCTCAGTGTTGGATACGGCTGAGCAGGAGGGGTCAGGCTAGCATGGGAGCACTTAGCGACAAAATCTATGTTAAAAGACAATAAGAAGGTCAATAGTTGTGTACAAATATTCATAGATCTCTAACATCACATCATATTTTGTACTGTATAAAGGTAACATACAGTATTTGTGCACAAATTCTCCCATCATTATGTAAGAAAGACATCACACAAAAATATTCTGTTCATTTTGTGCAGTCTCTTGGAATTACAAATATTATTAGATACAGTATATAATTTATGTTGTATATATATATATTTCTGTTTGAAGCACTGGCTATTATTATTATACATGGATAAGTTGTTGGTTGCCGATTTATAAGTATAAATCAATATTTGCCGCCCTCACTGATGTGTCTCTTTGTTGTGAGGAAGCCTTTTGAAGGTCATTTGTGTACACCTTTGCTTCTTAGTCAAGGCAGTCTTGCATTTGAGGTGCTTAATGCTACTGCTTTGATGATGTTTTGTTTTTCCTTTTCATTAACAAATAAAGAAAATTACATCAATAAATAAATTGAACTGACATTGACCTTTATTAGTATAGTTGGATAGTTTGTGTAATCCTTTGTAACAACAGGATATGGATATTATTTCAGCTTTAGATCAGCCTTTTTGAACTTCTGTATGAGGACTTTCATGAGAGATTAACTCTACAGTACTATGATCTTGTATAAATATCATACAGTGTCATACTGTAGTCAATAAAAGAACTGTACTGCATAGTACAGTAATGGGTATAGTACATACTGTATATAATTTCAGAAAAATCTGTCTTCAGTATCTGTTCAGTTTCTTATTGTTTTATATTGAGGACCTAATGCAAGTTTACATGCTATTTACCTGTAAGACAGATGAGGTGTTGTTGAGGAAGTGGACTTACCATGTAGGACACTTATAGGGCTTGATGAACATGTCAGCAGGCAGGAGGTTACCCTGGAGGTTTGTGCCACAGGGAAGACACTCAACTTAGACGAATAGAAAGATTGAAAACAATGAAGAATGAGAGGAGTGACAGAAGGAAATGTTGAAAGATATGAGGAAAATAAAGTAGAATCCTATGGAAGAATATAAGAGTAGGCAAGGAAAAGAGGAGAAACAAGAGAATCACGCTTGAAAAGGAAATGTGAACAAAGAGCTCAAGATTAATGAGCTTTATTTTACACTTTAAGACTAAAGAGGAGGAGGATCAAGTAGTATGAGGTAGGATAAATATGGTACTTTATAATCAAAATTATTCAGAAAACAAAAAGTAACTTTATCGTCACAATTCTTTTTATCTTCATTTTTATAAGCTATTTAATATTATTGGGAACATTTACTTATTCAAGACAAGTGACTTGAAAATTACTTGCCCTGATATTTTTTTTTTACTTTTTGTGACAAATTTGGGTGAAATTTTACCTACCTGGTTTTTTATGGTATGATGAGTTGATGGCAGGGTCCTCTATACTCCTGTGGCTAGATCATTTGGGTGTGTGAAGAACCTGGTCATTTTTCTTTATTTCTTATTCATTTTGATGTTTTCACTTTAGTTTGGGAGTTTTTATACAGATTTTCAGGTCAGGTCATTGTGAGAATAGACCAATAAAAATAGGAGAGATCAGCTGTGATGTCACCGAGGCTGGAGCATGCACCTGAGCTTTCTAGGCAGGTCAGGACCTTACTCATTAACATGTGTTGGGAGGTGGGGTTATGCAACACCTGACAAATTCCCTTTTAGTTGTTTTCCTCTCAAAATATTAACTTGTCCACTGGGTATAAGTGCTGGGCACACAAATGAAAAATCACTTGTCCATCCCCCTTGTCTGAAAGATGGGTTGTAATTGTCTGTGTATGCAATGGTGTGGGAAAAAAAAGGAGATAGCGAAAAGAAATATTTTTGGGTAAATCTGAATAATTTCAATATAAGTTTCACTTTTAGGTCCGCTTCACACGAGTGTGTTTGTCCCGCGCAGGAGTTTTTTTTTTAGAAGGCATGTATTCACACGGGCCTGTTTTTCACGCTTTAGTTCGTCTGCATCTGCTTATGATGGACAAAATTTGACAATTCAGTAAAGAGTTTTCAATTACAGTATAGGCAATTAAGAGCAAGGCAGTATGTAGAGTATGCATTTGGTATAATGTCAAATAAATGGAGAATATTTCATCGACCCCTAAATGTGAAAGTTGAATTTGCTATTGATATATTGTACTGTACTGTAGTCAAAGGTTGCTGTGTATTACACAATTATGTTCACAAAGGGGAAACAATCAATTTTGACAATAAGTTGATCATAGGATTTGAAGTTTATGACTTGGGAGGAGTAATGCAGGGTGGAAGGTATGCCAACAAATATAGGGTTACATTTAGTATTTTCTTTAATAGTGATGTAGGAAAAATGGCATGGCAGTACAGACAAATATAATGATGAGCATGTATGGGTAACTGAGATATGGAAGATATTAAGTAGTGAGATTATTTTCAATTATGGTCCTATTAAATTTCTGCCATGTGAATGAAAATAAAATGATATACCTATGTTGTTTTTCAGTCATGCTTTACTCTTCATAGTCTTCAATGAGTGAGTGGCAAACCTCAACCCAGGCTTCCACTTTCCTATTTACATCTTTGTACTCTTCTGTCGAAGTATCCCATAATATCGGTCACTCTTGCACTTCCCTTAATAGAAATTCAGTATCAAGATGGGCTGCCATGATGTTGTTCTGTAATATTTTATTAGTCTCATTATCAGTGTTCAAATTACTTGTACAGTAAACAGTACCCTTATACCCTGTAGAAATACTTTAAAATATATAAAATGTTTAGGTATGATATTATATGGTTAAATACAACATATACCAGAACTAGTCTAAGTATCCAAACTGCATACTCATGATAGTATACTAAAAATTTTTAGAAGTACATACTTGACAAAAATAATCACAGGCACCACCAGAGATGCACCACAACTGACACACACAAACACATGTTTGTCTGAAGTACTGTACTACTCCATTGCCATATGTAGAATTTTAGAACGCTCTGTGGTTTGGAAGTACAGGTGTGGAGTGAGTGTCTGCCACGCATGCTCTATGTGAACGGTCCCATTGAACTTTATTAATTTCTAAACTTTGTAGGAAAAAACGCTTGTGTGACGCAGGCTTTAAAAATTGGGTGATAGTGGTGAGTGATTTGGATGAAAGTGAGTAACAGGAACTTTTGGAAGAGTTTAGAATGCCAGAAATAATGGAAAATGGAAATAAACTGCTAGACATGTGCACAGAAAGTGTTGATAATAGGAAATACAATACAGTACAGCACAGTATATGGTTTAAAAGACAGTACAGTATAAAAGGGTTATATGGAAAACCAACTCCATTGCTGATGATGGTTGAAAGATAAAGGTACAAGCGTGTGGTAATCCTTGTTGTTTCAGGAGTGTAAAAGTGTCTGTAAGGAAATATAAATGTTATCCGAGACATTGTTGTAACATTTTCAGAATATGGGTTAGGTAATGTATGAATTGTACACCACCATTTTAATTATTACATTACTGGCCAGTTTTAATAAGTAGATAAAACTAAATTTGAACTGACAATTTTCTTCTTTTCACAGCATCGAGAAGGTGCCTAAAATAACATCACCGGTACTTGTCATTCACGGAACAGAAGACACTGTGGTAGATTTCTCACATGGCTTAGCCATCCATGAACGTTGTCCCCGAGCAGTGGAACCACTATGGGTAGAGGTAAGATTAATAGTGAACATTCATGTGAATTGCACCTGAGCTGCTGTCATCATCAAAATCAGTGTAGTCAATGACAACATCCTTCAAATTTTTTGGTTGCGTGTGACGATGAGTACGCTCTTATTGCCGTTAGGCTGGAATGCACTTTTTAGGGATTTACATGTTCTTCTTGCCCCTTCAAAATATTGGAATTTTACAATGCAACAAGAGCATACTACCACCAAGGGAATTTGCAAAATGATAAGAGGAGGTATACGGTTCTCTGGTAACATAGATGACAGATTTTTGCGACTATGGTCAGTTTGCCCTCGTCACTAAATACCTCGCATTTAACACTGTATTAGTCCACCCCAGTAATCCCATTGCACAATGTACTGTATGAAGCCAGGCTCTTAGCTTCTTCTCAGAAGAAGTATACTTGGCAGACAGGAACACCATTCCTTGATGGGGTTGGCTCCAAAAAGGGATTTAAACAGTCTAGGGATCAAAGGATCAATGGTTTACATTTTACAAGTTATTAAGTAAACAGGTCAGACCACTGTCAAGTACTGTACTGTATAAGCAGAGCCTACCATTACCCTTAAGGTATTCAGCGATTGGCAGCATGAATACAGCTCTAATGGGTACAGTATTGTAATACTGTAACAAAAATGCATTTAAGCCATCTCGCCCTGTTAAACACATGTACTGTAGATCCAATGGTCTTTTTCTCAGAGACTTTAGATACAGTACTATCGTTGGATTCTACAGCTCATTTGACCAGATGAGGTAACCTGCTTCAGCCTTCAGTTCTTTGCTGTTAACCAGACTACTGTACAGTATAAAGATTTTTCAGGGATGTTCCTCTGGACATACCTTAAATGATAATTGTTTTTCTAACACTTTTCACTCCATTTTATTTATTACGTATTGCTGTTCTGGCTTTTACTACCCAGTTACTTAGTTACATTTGACATTTGATTATGTAAAATCACTTTGTTTTTATATGGTATCTACATTTTCCGACTTTATCTCATTACCTATCACTGTACAAGTTTTAACTAACAGTTTCTTTGACTGTACCCTTGCAGACAAAAGTAGGACCACATGGGTTGGATAATAGGGAATGAAGGAGTAGAAAGGTTAGTTGGCTTTAGTAATGTCAACATGGGGTGTCATTGCTAACTCAGGTCTTCAGCATCACCCAAGATGCCTATACTGTATACAGTACTTGGGTATTACACTAGGGTAATTAGAATAATAAATATAATCTGGAATGCATTGACTACATTTTACTTCAAGAAAAATTAAGAACTTTTACCTCAAATCAAGAACTCCCCAGTTTGAGAAAATTTAATGGGATTCAGGGAAAATGGAACAAGGGAAGAACTTGAAATTGAAACCCAAATACATGTTGAAGAATTCTGCAAATTCTTGGGGCACATTACACAGTGTCAGTACAGTATTTATGCACATCTAGTAGTAGCTGTAAACATATTCGGCCAAAGAGTCTGTACATTTGCTTTGACCAATGTCCAGGACTGGATGGGTTGAGATCTCCGACTGGAGGTTTATTTATCAGAGTTAGTTGTCAAATTCTAAGAAAACATGTTAAAATTTAATACAGCTACTGAACTCGCCTCTTTCATGTTGTATTGGGGCCCACCACAAAAACCCTTAAACTAGGCACTTGATACAGTATAGTGCTATCCATCATTCTCTAATTCTGGAATTGTCACATGTCATGGGAAACCTTGAATTATTTTCAGTTCAAAATAAAATACACAAAGTTGTTTAATTATGCTACACTGTCAATCATACCTTCCTCACACAAGCATCAAAGAGTGATAGTTTTTACCTATCGTGGTTGTTGACTGTTAATATCCTGGTAATAATTTGAATCAGTTTAAAGATAAATTATTTGTGTAGAAGAGTTTTAGAAATGAACTTGTCTATTAAGTCATTGCCACTGCCATGTTTGTCAAAAACAAGTAACTGTGACCATGATACATGGTGCTCTTTATGCACTTACACTGTTAATGGAAACATTTAGCCATCTGTTAATACAGTAGTTGTTGTTATTCATAACTGTTTTAACAGTTAATGTTTTAGGCCCGCTATAATGTAGACTAGATACTTTGTAGGTAAGGTATTTCGATATTTAGAAATAGGCTTGTCCTTAGATCTTGAGGTCAAAGTTATTGGTATTACAGGTTGTGCTTTGACGTAATGGCAAGCTTGGGACCAGAGTCGTGTCGTTAAATTGAAGCATGAATCACGGGCGTGCCATTAAACCTGTACTCGTACATTTATTTTGGTAATTAATAAAATTCACTATATTAGGAAAATCAAGCAACACTTACCAACAACAACTGGTTTATTCTGCTCCCAAAGTGGTGAATTTTGATGTGTTTAAATACTGGTGTTTAGGGTAGGTAAGGTTAGGCGAAGTTCGCAGACCATTGCTCACCACTTGCAGTATCCTCAGTTATCCCGTGACGTTTCTTAAATAATAAAGTAAATAATACAGTAATAAATAAATTTAGCACTTGTAAGCCATTGTCTTATAATATTTTAATTTCTTATTTCTATTTTAAAATTAATTAATACATGATGGCTCAATCTGGTTAATTATGCACTTAGACATCAGACCAGTGATTAAACCAGGACATATGGAAATACTTTATACACAACAATAATGTTTATTTCGTTCTGATAAATACACTACAATATTATTTACTAAGTGCTCAAGACAGATCCGGTGGTGAGCACCAACCATCTAGAGCAGTGACAACAACGGTGGTGGCAACATTATTAGGGAGAGTGGGTCAGCCGGAACAATCAGTTGTTTCTGCTTTGTAAATTAGAGAGAAATATGCTATAACGCAGTAGCTCACCTGGGATTCAAGTGTGGGGGGGGTAATTAATTTTTGAAAAAGTGAACCAGTACCAGAGAAGCTCACTGAATCGCCTGCCAATTTAAATTTTCCGGTGTATGGCGGTAAATGCTGAAAATGCCTCTAAATATATATTTTTGAAATTTTTCCGTTTAGTAATTTACCATTAAATCAAACCACAACCCATGTAGATTAAATTATTATTTTATCTCCGTAGATGTACATTTTTGTACACTCCTGACATGGGTAGTTACTAGTGCATATAGTCATCACTAAAGTTACTGTCATTGTTGTTGTCCTTTGTGTTTTCTTTTCATCTTGACTGGTAATATCTTTGACATTGTTTGACTGAGACTCAGATGAAGTAGTTACTTTCTCCACTGTTGCCAATCTTTTGTTAAACTCATCATTACTAAGTACATGTATAAAAAATGTACAGTATCATGCATTTATTTTATATCTTTCTCTGGGTGTGTATGTAAATACAGAACTTTGGCATTGTTTATGTGTAATTAAAAAACTATTTGCCTTCCAGGGTGCTGGACATAATGATGTAGAGCTGTACAGCCAGTACCTCGAGCGGCTGAAGCAGTTTGTGTCAGTGGAGCTGGTTAATTGACGTCTTGGGGAAGCCCCCCCTCCTACAAGCCAAGGGGGGCTCAACCACCATCCTCGTAGTACTGCTGCCTACAGTGGATCAACGTCACGTGGAGCCAGTGAGGGTCTGCTGTTAAGATGTTGGGACACTGACATGGGCATGATTGCCACTGAAGGCATGTTTGCTACTGAGGGTGTCATGGCATCTGAGGGAAGATTAACAGCAGCTCTTGCTACACCAACACTTTCCACAGTCGACACTTCCTCTCGCTGTGCCACACCCACAAACATCACCACCATTGCCTCCAAGAGTCCAGCCAAGCCATCTCCTAAACTGTCAAGAACCTCTGCTACACCCTCTCCATCCCCTTCAGCCTCATCAACTAATCAACCTTCTTCCCAACAAGACCTCTCTTCCCTGCCTCAAGATGCTTCTTCCATTACTCTGTCTACAACTTTGCTTCAACAACACCGTCGTCACCACTCACGATCTAGCTCAGCAACAGAAAAACTGCTGTGACCTTTGGAGTCATTAGTCTAACCTTATGTTGTGTACAGTGAGCAGATTCAGGAAACATGATGGTGAAGTTCAACATCTTGTGTAACTGTCTATGATATATGCCTCTTTTGTCATAGCTCTATGTTACAAAGTTCAGTTATTAGCAAAGATAAAATGGACAACTACATGTGTATGGAGAAATGGATTTGTATTAAGTGTTGAAAGTGAATGGATTAGAGAATCAGAGCTTGGGGCCATCACTGTGTAGCAGTGAGAGTTAATTGGCCTCCTCAGTAAAACAGACATAACTATGGACCTTATGTGCACGTCACATCTCAGGTCTCAGGTCAGTGAGGTTCAGTAAATTATGACCTGTATATTTAAGGTCAGTTTATTTATTTTTTTATGTAATTCATACATTTGGTGTACTTCTGTTAAGAGAGCCATCATGAATTTTGTATTGTTAACCTTTATGGAAAAATGATAAAGACTTACTCCAGGTCATGAAATGGTTAAAAACCAGATGTTACAGTGTTGAAGGAATACTATCCTTAAATGTCAGGTCTTATTTTGAGTAAAAGTAAATTGTGGTAAATAATATTTTGGCAGCTGCAGTTGAAAGTATCTGTAGTATGCTGACAAGTTGCATTCTGAATATGTGTTTTGTATGTCCATGTTTGATACATTCAGGTCATTAGAGATAGTACTTTTCAAAGGTGAGACTCAAATTGTAACCTTTTTTTATCAAGAGAACCTGTAGTATTGTTGCCCCCTAGTGCAGACCTGTTACTGGGTATCTGCAGGTGGTTTGCTGCTGTTACCATTACATTGATCACCGTTATGAAGGTATGCAGGATTTGCTGAATTGCTATCTGATATCATTGCCAACTAAACACTTGCACTACTTTATACATACCATTTTGTTGTGTTTCTAAAGAGGTGATTAATAGATCATTGAGAGTGGGGGTGCACTTTTTGGAACATTTAGGAATGCATAAGCTTGGAGGAAAACAATCTATTACTTGGGATGATTTTAATCTCGTGTTCATATTCAGCAGTGTAGCATACATTTTGAAACATATTTGTACTGAAAAAAGGAGATGAATCTGTAACTGGTGAGGTTCAGTCAGGAATCAATTGTTTTTCAACTAGTTAAATACCAAGAAATATGGACAGTTGCAATAGACATGGTTACTGCTGATGGTTGTCTTTACCTGTGTACCCAGTAGAAGTATGATCTAGTGTGTAGACTGCAGGTATTTCTTACAAGAACTGTCTGCATTGGAGCTGTGGTCCAGAATGTAGATGGTTGCCAATTGTTTTGCTGGGGGAGTGCTTGGAGATATATATAGATTATGGAGTTAATTATACATGACTTGGTATTTATATACATTTATAGAATTGTGAAATTTTGCTAAAATTTGTATTGACAGTCTGATGGATGGATGATTCCAAAAGGCAGTCAGCATTCAAATGAGAAATGTTTGTATGGGATGAATGAGAATATAGGAACCTCCAGTCCTTGTTATTGATATCCAAGATAACTTAAATCTGCATCAACATTTTGATATTCAAGTAACACTTTTGAAGTAGCGATAAAGTACAAAATGTGACCTCTGTTTTAGGCAGGTAAAAGAAGACTACTAGTGGCAAGTTTGGATTTTAATAGGGTTTGTCTTCCTAGCATCAGTGAATTCTTTACAACCACAAAGTAACAGCTGTTGGGTAGACTGGTTTAAGTCCCAAGTAGGGGTCCCTGTACTTTATATATACAACAGTACCTTAATTATCCAGCTTCCAGTAACCTTGTACTCTTGGGTGACAAGTTCAATAATCATGATGATCTCTATTACAGGTCTTTGATCACTTGTTTGCTGGTAAAAGTGTTTCCTGTTAAATAAAGTTATTGGTTGAAGGGAAACATATGCTGGAAGCTGCTGCAGGAAAAATGTATGGGCATTTGTGACAACAAAACATGAAAAGTTCTTTTTAAATGGTAAATCATTTAATATTTCATGGACACTATGCAGTCAGAATTACACTGTACAGTAGATACGTTCCAAGTCTAGACGCACCAGCTTAATTTTAAGGTTCAAATTTTCTTGTCTTAATTTGTTTCTTAAATACAAGTAGTGCAATTTATTTTGTCAACCAGTTTTGAAAAAAGCTTTAATCTTGGAAAATATCACATGGACTGCTAGCTTATCCTCAAATTTCCTTAACTGTTCTACCCATTGTGTTCTGAACTTGACTTTGAATGTTCATGGTTCGCAGTAGATATGCATTGCAATTTCACTTGTGCAAGCCTTTTCCATCATGGCACATGGTGGCCTGAATCAGAGACTGTCCCATCATTTGTTTTATTATCTAACATTTTTTCGACCATGGTGTTCCTAGTTTACTCGTTACTGTACAACCCAATATCACATCCATCCTCATGAACTACTTGACACCTTGCTCTCTGATTATGCTAGCACTCTACTGCTTCTTTGATGTCCATTCACCACAAGTCCTCCCTCACCCCATCCTTCCACCTCCTTCTTGGTTGTCCTCTCTCTCTCACTCTTTGCCCTTGGCTTGACTTTGGCAACATTTTCTGCCCATGAGCTTTATTTTGCACAAAGCCATGGCATCCAGGTTTATCTCATTTATCATTACTTCAGTCAATTTTTTTTTCATCCTCATAACATATAACACATCAATCTCTCTCTCTCTCTCTCTCTCTCTCTCATACACAAAGCTACAGAGAATGAGGTTACCAGCCTCATACCTCCGTGGCCAGCTGTGCTATGGGTGGATGGTGGGGATACTATATATATTTACATCTTATTTTTTCATAATTATTATTTCTAGTGGAAGGGAGTGAAGTCGCATTGTTTTTGATATTGATTAGACAATACAATAGATTTTGTCAGTTGGTGAGACTTGGATGTACCTTATGCACATCCTCATATTTTTGTGAGTGCATTGAACATTGATGTTATGGCTAAGTCATTGTCTTTAAAAGGTCTCATAAAAATAAGATGTTTCATCAATGTTTCAAAAGGTTCTAATTGAAATTAGAGGATATGCTGCAAGGATTTAGCCTAGCATTTTGCTCTTAATTACTTGTGGAAGTCTTAAGTTCAGTTTCCTACTTCTTACAGTCCAATTGAGGTCTTAATATTTCAAAGTGATCTTTATAAAGCACTAATTTCTGATAATTGCAGATATTCATAATATAATCAATTAAGTTTTAGGTAGGAAACTTGGTGTTTATGTTATAACACTTTAAAAGCATTTTTGAAAATACCGTTTCTTTGGTGACATACAGTACAAAATAGTGTTCTCCTCAGGATGGCGGAGCAGGGCGGTGGGTGGAGGGAACCCATAGATCTGGGAAGTGAGAGGTTAAAATAGAGGTGAAATCAGTGGATAGGTAAAATGAAGCAACATAGTACTGTACGGCTGGTTATGGGGAGAAGCCTGCAATCTTTATAATCGTTATCTTAAGTATGAGTGTAATTGTAACATATTTGGGTGACTGTGTTGAATTCTTTGAGTGTATGGTGTAGCATTCATAGTAAGTGAACTTAAATCATCTGGGTAAAGCAAGGTAATTTTGAATGACAGGGATTTAGCATGCACTATGTTAATACATGATAATTTAATATAGTATTCTCTTATTTAGAAGTAGAAACCAGAAAATTGGAATACTCTCTATTGACAATCCTCTGAAGTGGTTTCTGCACATCTGTTTTATATGTATTCAATTCAAGAATGCCATTATATATATATATATATATATATATATATATATATATATATATATATATATATATATATATATATATATATATATATATATATATATATATATATATATATATATATATATATATATATATCTTTTTCCTTAAATCTTGCAATTTTTTAATGAAAGAACTAATGAGAAAACACTTTGTGTAAGAGTTTATCCATTTAATTGTGTGTTTGCTGGCTAGATGATTACATGGCTTCCATATATTAACCAAAGAGTTTGTTGAGGAAAAGAATTTCTGATGAAATGGATAATTCAGTGTGTGTGTTTGATGTTCATTTGATGAACAGATACTAATGGATTATTATAGAATATGTATAAAAGTTAAGAGATGTGATCATGAATTATCCATGTCTATTGATGATAATTCATTTTGTGAACAGACTCGCATAGCAAAGTAAGATATTTGTCAAGAGATGTTAGGTGATAGGGTAAAACCATTATTTCTGTGATAGATCAGAATAAATCATCAATTTGCATATATATTGAAGAAATTTTTTGAACATTATGTTACTTGCTTGACAGTGGTGCAATAGAATTTGGCTATGCATTTTCAAGATAATATTCTGTGGTTCATAAAATTTCAGTGTGACCCAAATACTGTAGCTAGTTTATACTGGATATTTATTCTAGGCAATGTGAAAACTAATTACCATATTATACACCAGACATATTTTATGTTAATGCTAAAAGTGGGTTTTTAGCTTCCCATGTTCAGTCGCATATAATGTAGTATGTTAATGTAAGTGAATTTTGATTTATTTGGGACTGAAAATGAATCATTGCAATTAATTTATATAAAAGCATATTTTGGGGTCTGTGTTTGATATACAGTATTTATTTTATTAAGCATATAGTTTTAGGATCACATTTATGAGATACAATATAACTACTTAATGCATGTAAGATAAATGAACAAGTGCATATTGTGTGTTAGTAGGTTTAACCTCTACTGATATAGTTGAATGCATCAAAAAATTACTGTTAACAAGCAGTTTCAGAATTCTTCCCCAGTATTTCTCATCACAGCTGTTAGTCTTTTTAAGGATAATCAACAATCAAATAATAATATTTTAACAATCACTTGTCAAAAAGATTAATCATCCTTGTTAGAAAAAGTAGTAACATTTTTATAATGTGTAGTTTTAAAAGACACCAGTCTTGGAGGGATTATTAAGCCAAATTTTGATATGATAGAGAATTATAAATGTAATTAACGGCGTAGAGTAATCAGTGCACATAGCTCGGCATTTGTGAGAAGTGCGTCAATTGCATGATCCTTGTTCAGTCTTGTATAAATTACTCTCAGAGGATTTTTTATGTTTAGTTCGTTCACATTGTTTTATTGAAATAAATTTGCTGGCACTCTTGTATGCTCTACAGGAGGCCAACCAAAGAAGTGCATCTGATTCGGTGGATAGTTCCATGTTAGATCAGTGTCTGCAAATGTGCCTGCTTATTGTCCAAGCTGATCTTGTACACTACTTCATACTTGAGACATAGTAACTTATGCATAACAGATAACCAATCATTGTTGTTTACATATCCCTTTAGTTTTGGTTTGCACTAATCTTGGTAACATCTTGCATAAATCACTCCTAGATGAACTTGAGTCCATGAACTGTCACTAATCAATCAGTTTGCTTGTGTATATACTGCCATGGTCAGTCTCAAGCTGCTCAAGAAAGCAAATTGAAGAGGCACTCTTAAACATCATTGGTTAGGTATTGTGGAGACTATCCAGCAGATCACAATTTCCCAAGCACCCATAAGCTGTTCACTTTGAAGTGTTTTCTACTGATTTTGCTCCAGCAATATTAAGTGATATTTCCAATGAAAATTCCTTGCTTTTGTGTATTTTTCTTGAGCTGTTTGTGTGTATTATTGTTTTATATTTATTTTTTCTGCTTGTTTTTGTGTCATGACAAATTAGTAAATTTCAGTTTAGATTCAACAATTTCTTATGGAAATTTATCCCCCTTTAGTGAGGGGAAGTCCATTGTTCAGTTAGAATTTTATCATTTAAATTTAGGTAGCTATCCCATTTAACAGAGAATGATTAAGGTCAAAAGTCTTATCCCTGAAGTGTGTATTTTGTCTGTTAATTTGTAATGTGTGTTATAATATTTTCTGATTTGTAAATGTTTGTTTATATTTGCATTGATTGTTGAGTTAGAGAAAATGATATTGTAGTGTAGATCCAGGACATTCAAGCAACTTACCCTTAACCATAGTTGCTTCTCTATTTTCCATGGGATTATAAATGTAACTAGTCTGGTGGTTGTTTATAAAGGGCATTGCTGCCCCTCCAGTACATTGTTCAAAAAAGAATATTGGTGTAGGATTAATTGACTTTCTTAAAGAATCACAACAGCTTATTCTTGTTTGAATACAGTAGTAGATCTTGAGTCTGAAGTTTTGGAGAGAACTACTTCCTCTTTCATGCAGCAAAAATTACAAAGGCCAAGTACTGTGCAGTATATTTCATTTGAACATTTCTCACTGGATATTTATAATGAGCAAAATTTTTTCTCACTCTCCTTGTGGGAAGAAAAGATTATCCTATTTTGTTGATGAGGTAGCTAAAACCTTGTGTGGGTTTTGATTGTAAAATGTACTACTATACAGAGCTCCTATAAGCTAGAAAAGTCTGGAAAATGCCTACTTCTTTCTGGGTCAGGATTGTTTTTTTATGTGATTTTTTGAGAATTTTATCAAAGTTGGGATTCCCTAATGTTTGGCAAAAAATTACAATACTAATGTACTGTATAGCTTAGACGTATAAGACTGAAATTACCTCTGGTACTTTTTCATTTAGTTTAAGATGAATAGTAATCTGGAAATAATTATTATTGGGTCTTCATGCATGGTACAGTATTCATTTAAACAAGAAGCATAATACACAGACACGTGTCTGTACTTTGTTTTAGTAAAGTTGTCATGTACAGCTTATCCAAAAAGTATTGAGACCCCAGGATCTGATGGAATAGAAAACAAGCGATAACCTCCTACGTGTTCATGTATGGGTTGTGTTGGATTGGATTGGTCTTTGACTGATGCTTCATATTCTTCCAGATGCCAGGGATCTCTATGCTTTTTGGTTTGACTGTACTGAACATTTTTATGTTTGGCTAAAAAGAACAACAGTTAAGTTCATAAGTAAATGTGAAATTGTGGTATACCACTTCTCATTGTAATCTAATATTTCAGCAAGCTGGTAGAAAAGTTGGCTATTGGGCGGGAACAAATACACAAATTACTTTTTGAGTGTTATTCAGTTTGTCAAGAAAAAACAGACTGGTCTGTAAAGGTTGGGATTTTTCAGCACAAAGCCAGTGGGAACCCTATAGAGTATAGTACAGTATTAGATAAACAAATTATAATTATTAAATTTGTGAACAGAGGAGGAGTTATATTGAAAGTTTTGAATGTGAAAGATCATGGAAGAAAACAATTTAGAAGAAAAATGTTTATTATATACCCCTGTACTGTACTGTAATTTGAAACTGGAATCTTCAGTTACTGTGGTATTGTATTTAGTAAAGATTTATAAGAAATACAGTTTACATAGACAGCAGAGTGCAGCTGGTTTTGGGTGATTCTTATAAAGGGGCATTAAGATTATAAAACTGCAGAGGAGGAGGAATGAACTGACAATTGCAATGGAAATACAATTGTATAAGGGAACAATTTTGAGTTGGTATAGAATTTTTTTTAGAATTTCTGACAGTTGTTAAGGAGAGGGAATGTTCTCATCAGACTTCTAACAGTTTTTTCTCACTTTTTTTTATAATTTAAACTGTATTTTAATAGTTACTCCATGGGAAAATTAAATACTGTATGCAGAAATTAGGTCTTGGGAAATATTAGAACACACAAGATTTTGTGGTGATGAATATTATTTGGGCGAAGTTTGAAGGGTCACCAAGTCCCAGAGTAGTTTAAACAACCCTGACCTAATTAATATTGTAAACTTTAACAGAGATTTCATTAAATTGGTTTGATATAGCTGCCAGAAGTTTTATTGAAGTATTCTTGTAAGTTAACAGAAGAGTATGGGGTTTCTCTGGAAAGATACACACATTTCTCTGTAGCTTTAATGTTAGATTAATCTCCTTCAATGTTGAGTGTTTCCTGGATGGCTGTCATTGAAATGCTGTGCAAATATAAACCTTGAAAACTCAGTAAATGAACCTACACCCCAGTTTTGTTGAAGATACTCGTTCATAAACCTTTTGATACTTCAGTCATCTGTTTACGGGTTAATTTGTTACTGCTTTAAAACATCCTCTGTCTGCACACACAACATTTTACACAAGTTTTATATTCAAGTTTGTGTGCCTTGTTTTCATTGTACACTGCACTAAGCTTGAAGAACTAGCTTCCTATATTGAAACTACTGTACTGCCAGAACCTGCTTTTCATGCTAGTTTTCCCAGCTTAATTTTTCTTACTGTGGAATCATGTACTGTCCTGTACACTAACTCTTTGGTTTTTGGTTTGAATTTTCAATTAAAGACAAATTTGCTTTATTATTACAATATATATATATATATATATATATATATATATGATATATGGTTATCTATATGATCAGCAGTGATTTACTTGCATATATATATATATATATATATATATATATATATATATATATATATATATATATATATATATATATATATATATATATATATATATATATATATATATATATATATATATATATATATATATATATATATATATATATATATATATATATCACACTTATACACAATAAACCCTCAATTTCCTGAGGGGGGGGTGTTGCATATGAGAATTTATGAGATGAGTTCTGTTCCCCAGATTTCTGTCTCCAGCCTACTAAATTTAACTCTAAAGAATACTTGAGAACCTCATTATAATATACATTTCAAGCTTCTGGACTCTTTGTATGATATTTCAGATTGGGTGAAAACCATAAACATCATCTTGTGCAGAACCAGGAGACCACGCTGCAGGCGTGGAGAGTGTGTTTGGGCAGTTAATCTTGTGTTAGTGCCTGTGTATGCATCACTTTCACATGCCCTCTTTGCATTTTAATGCATATTTTTCCTGTGTTTGTGCTGTGATATTATTATAATGGCCTATGTTTTTACATATTCAGTAGGAAGTGAAAAAAGTAAATACTGTACTGTATATTAGAGAAGTGTGTGACAATTACTGTGGCTAGATTTCCTGGCAACTTTGGAGGTAGAGGAGGGAATCCTTCACCTCAACATAAACCACATTATTATTACAACTGATCAGTGACCTGGACTGAACCACACTGCCCGGCCCTGCCAAGCACTGCCCCACACACACTCAATCACCCTGTCCATACACAATGTCTCACCACCTGGCTCAGCCAATCACGGTGCTTTAGGCCCCATCACCACACATGCTGCCTCTTCACCCGACTTGCTTAATCATGGTGTATGTTAATTACAGTACATGTAATTTTGATCTGGTTTTCATTAAATTGATGGCTTTCTTATCTTTTAGTCCTGGGACTAATTTTGTTCAAAGTAACAGTGCTTTGTGTAATGGGGTATTGAAATATTTTAAAGCCCAATATTGTTTATGGCACAATACAGGAAGTATTCCTGTGAAAATTAAAGAACTATATTATACATATATCTGTGTACTGTTATGTTCTTTGACCATAATTCCTGGCATCATATGTGGTACAGTATAGTACAGTGAAACAAATACCAAAATAAGTTATATGACCTAAATTGGTTTATTAAGACACTGAAATTACAAAATTGGAGATTATGGAAATGGAGGGTTTAGTGTGTGTGACTGTATATAGTTGGAAAAGGAAGAAGTGTTGATAAATGTATGGTTCCTGTAATGCAAAATACCTCTGATAACGATCAGGAAATAGGTGTTTGTGGTAAGTATTGGGATATGAATTAGTGTGAGGTGCAGGTGAATGCTTAAGAGACCTGGTAAACTTATTGGTTATAATAATACTGTAGTGTTTTCTTCAAATTTTTTGCTCTAGATTTATCTTTCATGGATAGTAGATAATCAGAACTCATGTGACTGCATCATGAAGCAAAGTTCATATTTATAGGATATATTGATGAAAATTTAGTGTTGTCACTACAAACAAGCACAGCATAGTACAGTATGTGTTGGTGGTACTCATGAAGCTTCTGTTGGATCTAGGCAGTGAAACGAGCATGGTAATCTTGTTATAGAGTTGTGTGTCCAAGTTTTGGTGATTACAATACTGAGCGTAACATGTGAACTGTATGTTTGTTTGTGGCTGGAGCTAACAAGTTGATGCCAAGTATAAATTTGTTCCCTGTCTTGACAAATGCTGGCTTAGAGATTCCATTATGGTATTCTGCCATTCTTCATATTGTATTTTTTCATGGATCTTTATTTTCAGAAGTGTATTTTGATGTTATCCATCATATTTGTGAGTCTGACATATGCATTTCTCATTTGTAATAGACATTAAAAATTTTATATGTATGTTCTCATGTACTGATGGGCCATGCAAGATGTTATACATAGTAGTTAAATAGTTTATGAAGAAAGCATTTCCTGTTGAAGTTTATTTTTTTTTCTACTTCAATGTAAGTCTTGGAGAGATGATTTATTTGAAACAGTTGGTAGGTTTCATAATGTGGTTTAAGCAAATCAAAAGTAATTTATATCAATAATTATACAGGCTAAGTATCTGAAATCAACCAGAATGATTATGGAATGTATTGTACTGTATTTGGATCAAGACCAAACTCTTCAGTGGCTATATATCATTCACAGAATTTTACAAAATTTTTGTTTTGTTCTTGCTCACACGGCTACAAATAATGTGTCATTTTCTGAGCACTACGTTAATTTTTAGAGCCAGCACGTACTACCCATGGTGAGAGGGAGAAGCAACTGCATTGGTTGGCAGCTGGAGGTGATGATTTAAATTTCTTGTATATTGAAATATTGTAAAGTGTAACTTCACTGCCAGTTATTTATTTCATTTGTTTTAAAAGATATCTGGGATCAATCCTTTTGCTATATACCAGTGCTTCAGTTATGTAAGGCCCAGCGAATCAGAATCTTGATTTCATAAGACACCATATTTTGATACTTTTGTTTCAGATATTTCTTTGAATATGCATTGTACATATACACCAAACAAAATACAGTATAGGGGAATATGGAAACGGTGTCTTCATAAAGCAGATTCCTTTAGCTGGGCCCCAAGATAACTGGGTTCTAAGTATATCACTAATTGCTGAGGATGCAAGAAGTGGCTTAAGTGATAGTACCAGAATTTCCGCCCATCTTGATGGGTTGACTGCCCAATGGGTTGTTGGACCAGTTGAAATATTAACAAGCCATTGCAAAGGCAGCAAGTCAAGTTAATGTTACCTTTGGCCTGCCAAACCTCAGAATTATCATAACCTCCTTTTTTTGTGCAGTTGAGAATGCCCCCTGGGTCTGTCATCCTTATGTGATATTACTTTACATCAATCTTGGGTAACTCAAAGTCTGAGTAAGTAACACGTGATACCAACCTGGACTTTTGACGGTATGGTCGGGGATCCTAGTCAAAGGTAAAGGGGAACAGCTGTGTAGCTTCCTTTCTTCCAGGTTGTGTAGAAAAGTGTGTATACCTCAAGTAGGGTGTAACATGGCCATTATACCCACATTGTCATTAGTTTTGTATATTTCTTGTAATATACCTTTTTGTAAAGATGAATTGTTACCATTTAATGACATTGTCCCTATTGATGTTATTCATTTGTGTATTATCTTTGTAATTGAATGCTAAGCTCACTCATATTTCAGTAACTAACAGAGCATTCATGTAAATAGAATTATAAGCCGAAGTGAATATACCAGTAAGAATATTTTTAATTAAAGGCAATTACCAGTAAATTATAAATAATGTTATGAGTAAATTAGATAAAATTCTGTCTTTTTTTTTCTTTAGAGAACAAAATGATAAACTGCATAGGTAGAAAAACTTTTATAGCCTAAAAGTGCATTGTTGTCCATAAAGAGATGATGATTTTGTACTCTTTATTAATATGAACCAAAAATGAGATCATGGAAGACAGATAATTGAGTGATCCCCTAATGGTTATGTGTCCCCATTGTTTCTGTAGATATACTGTACTTAAAAAGACATAAAAATCACCTTTTTGTGATAAAGAATTTCATTAGCCTAGACTTCTTTGTGTATGTGTGTGTACTCATCGAGGGTGACCAAGAATTGCCTGTAGTTATTAGGTGCATTAATAAGGAGCGTGTGGCATGACTGTTGGGGCACATAAGAAATTTTTCAGTAAAGCCATGTACAAAACTGACTAATGCAGGATGACGACACGGTATATAGGGCGAGTCATTTGTAGGCTACATTGATGAAAGTCCCATGGAGTAATGTATGTGCAGTAAAATGTTTAGTACTACTGTATAAGGAGGCAGTGTGGCTGGCAATTCTTGGTTGCCTTCACATTCCAAAACTGTAGAGCTAGGTGCCCATTTATAGCTGGGTTAACTGGAGGTGCCCAGGGTGACAAATTAGCACCACTATGGGAAGGAGGCCATCACTATCCAATTCGCTGCTGTGCCGCATTTTTTATTCAGTACAAAAAAGATTAAGTGGAAGAAGAATCTATATACTTTATATAAAGTTGGTAATACTGTGATACATATCGGAAAACATTGCAGTTTGTACATGTTTAAATACTGTGCTGTATTGTACTTGTTCTAATGTTTTTCTTATTATTTTTATACCATACCGTATATAAAAAATGCACGAAAGAAATACAGTACAGTACTCACAATTTACCAAATTTTTTAAATAAAAGATCCATCACGAAATTAGGTAACAAGTGGTGTCGTGTGAAGTGTTGGTTATGAACTAAGGATATACAGGTACTCTATGGGCTGCGGCTGAGTGAGATCAGCTCGAGGCTTAATAATGATAGTACGTGGTCTTTTGTTTTCCCAAAGTGCCAGTTCTTCT